CATCTATCCTTGGTAGTGGAAATGGGTCTTTTTGCAAGCTTTGTTTAGGTCTGTGAAATCTATGCACATTCTCATCTTCCTATTTTTCTTTGGCACCAGTACTACATTTGCCAGCCACTCTTAATATTTGACTTCTCTGATAGCATTTGCATCTAGCAATCTCTGGACCTTGCCTTAGCTGCTAGAATTCTATCCTCTGACATTTTCCTTTGTCCGCTGCTTTCTTGGCCTTACTTTTGGATTCAAGTTGAGTGAATGTTGAATTATGTCTCTGCTGACTCCTTGCAGATCGGAGGCTAATCCAGGCGAAGACATCCTTGTTTTTGGTTAGGGTCTCTATTAATTCTGCTTCTTCTTCCTTTGAAAGTTTGCCTTCAATAATTACTTTTCTGTTCGGCACTACGCTCTCCAGGGGGGGCTGATTTTGTTTCTTCTTGATCTTTGAGATCTGTTTTGCCCTTCGACATATCTAGAGGTTCTGGTGCATTGCTGATGGACGTCTCGACGGAGTTGATGTTGCGCTAGGACTTGTAGATGGCTCTTTCTATGTTTCTTGCCTTCTTCTAGCTGCCATGGACTATGATGATGCCATGCAAAGCGGGCATTTTCATGCATAAATAACCCATATGGATTGTTGTATTGAACTTATTTGCAAATCCTCTGCCAAAAATGGTGTTGTATGGGTAGTAGAGGTGTACTACGTTGAAGGTTACATACTCGGTTCTTGCATTTTCTTGGCCTCCAAAGGACACTGGCAGAGAGATTTTTCCCAATGCGTCCATTTTCTTTCCTCCAAAACCAATCAATGGGGAGTCCGAAGGCTGTAGTTGGCTTCTGCTTAACTTTATCTGATCGAAGGCATTGACAAAGATGATATCTACTGAGCTCCCAGAGTCTATCAGGACCCTGTTAATTTCCCAACCTGCTATATTAGCCTTGATCACCATAGCATCAGTGTGGGGATAGCTTTCCAACTGCAAGTCTTGCTCTAAGAATGTAATGGGTGTCTTTGACCAATTTGTGCAGCGTACTGGACCCTGCACTGCTATGTTGTTGACAAGTCTAAGATGATCTTTCTTTTGCTTTTTTGTCTGAAATTCCATTGAAGAGCCTCTGGCTATTGGTAGTATCATGCCGAAGGTGGGTAGTGGTGTATGAGAGTTGAGCTAATTTTCTAGGTTGAGCTCGTTTTTGGGTGCAGCTAGCTGCGGCGAAGGTGGTGGTGGAGGTAATGCTTCAAGTTGTCTATTATGAACTTGAGCTAGCTGGTTTGTCTCTAAATGTTATGTGCGGAGGCCTTGGGTTTATGTAGGTGAGGTTGGCTTTTGCACACTGGTTACTGGGCTGCCCTTGCTGTTGTGTAGTTGGTCGCCAAGCGGGTAGGAAGTTAGGGTAGTATGCAGCTGCCAAGGTGGATGGGTGGATTTGACTGGAGTTAAGGCTTGGGTAGATTGGGCAATATGGCTGTTGTGAGGGTACAACAAAGGTATGGTTGACTTCCCTGGTGGGTTGTTGTTGCGGAGGCTAAGGGTTTGCCCTATTCTTTATCCTCTCTTGAGTTTCCTTCATATCTAGGCAATCTCTAGTGATGTGTCCGTTGTTCTCTCCATGAAAGAAACAGTACTACCTTTGCTGCTTTGGTTCCTAGTTTTTGTTCCAATTCTTTCTTTGATTGCATTTCTTGTCTTCGTATTGCTTCTATAGTGCTTTGTTTGGGGCTGCCTCCGGCATTTGCTGCCATTGCTAGCTATTCCCTTGCTGCTCTATATTAAAAACTTGTTGATCTGGCGCTTGCTGAGTCTATGACTGGCCTTGGCTTCTATTGCCCCTCTGAGCATTCCTACTACTCTCTTGGTACTGCTTGTTCTGATTTTGTTCTTCTAGCCATCTACAAAGGTCGTTATCTGACCTGCAATACTTCTCAAACTCTCTATATAGTTCTTCTATGGTGCCACATCCTCTGGGACATTTGGAGCCTTCGCTTTAAGCTGCATGAATTTCTAAAAGTAATCTCTCAGGGCTTCACCTTGATTTTGTTTACACTGAAATAAGTCCATTGATGACAAGGATTCAGTGGTGAACCCTTTGAAATTAGTGATGATCTTGTCGCGGAGGTCCTCCCATGAATATGTTGAACTTGGCCTCAACATTGAGTACTATGCCAATGCATTGCCTTCAGCTGCGATAACAAATGACTTTTCCCAAGACAGTGTCATTCCCGCCTGCGGAGGCTACAACTGCCTCAAAACTCATGATGAACTAGCGTGGATCAGATCTCCCATTGAATTTGGGTAGGGTAATGGGTTTATAGGAGGAAGGCTAGGGTGAGTTTTGGATTCCTTCGGACAGTGGAGATTTGGAGTCTATAGTTCTGTGGATTGGTGGTGAGGTGTAAGGAGTGCCAAAGGTTGGTTGGGCGGCCCCTCCTAGCGAAGGGTTGGGTTGGCTTTGATTTGCTGAGTGGGGCTGACTGGGTGTGTTGAAAAGAGGCTGGGTGGTTTGCATGCTTTGTATCTCAGCTTGCAAAACAACCAGTTGTTGCCTGATCTCTGCTGCCTGCAGTGATGCTTGGACTGCCCTCTGGTTTGCGGCAAAGGTTGCCGCCAACCTATCTCTCTCCTGCTGTGTACTCTATAACTAAGCTTGGAGCTGTTGGAGGCTTGGAGCACTTGCTCTGGGGTTGGTTCTTGCGCCGGCTGCTCCTTGGTCACCACATGCTGATCCTCTGCAACATCTTCTTCTATGTCTGGCTCTTCGGTAGCAGTAGCATAGGTGCTACGGTTGCCATGCCTAGGCCTCCCTCTTCTGGTAGGCTCCGAAGGTGCTCTTACGGAGGTTGCTCTATTTCTTGCCATTGTGGGTTTTGCTTGGCCAACACGCGGTGGGCGCCAATGTTGGAATACAGGGTTTCCAGCAGGTGGAACACGGAGGGACCTTCACCCAGCCGAGTGCCCTGGGCGAAGGCTAGGAAGATGGTAGGTGGGCCCAGGCTCGATTAGGGTTTCATAAATGAGTTTACCAACCTCCTTTACACAGGGTTCAGTCCCCCTTTTATAGGGCATTGTTTTACTACTATCCCCCCTTTACATATTTGCCCTACAACTGCTACGGTACATTCTCTGGATATTCCTCCACTAGTTCTAGCTGCCAGGGGCATTCTAGGCCTTCTTTTCCCGACCAGTTTTTGCTTCGCGGGCCTCAATCGTCGGCCCATGTGAAGCCCGCCCCTGCCTAGGGTTCTGCCGCAATGTGAGCTCCTCCCAATGGTGGAATCCGCCCAGTCTTCGCCCATGTCTTCCTAGCCTCCGCCTCCATCAAGCGGTCTCCACCTTGTACCTCCATTGGAAGGCCTTCGACGCTGTGCTCCGGACCTTCGCCTAGCCAAGGGTGATAAGCGAAGGCCCTACCTGTCATCCCTGCATAACATCACACAATTGTTTTGTTGCCGTTAGTTTTGCACTCACTCCAGCCTCCGCTACTCACACATGTGTGTCCTAACACTCTTTGTTGTTTTTTGGTATGTTTGGAAACTAAGGAATGAAATATGCTTTCAGGGTATTGCATGGACTGGGATTGAGAAGCTGTTGCTGCGGATCGTCAGGATGTTATTAAGAAGGTGGATGTCCATGCTTCGGTAGGAGTTTGGGCGCCATGGCCACTTAGCTAGAAACCAGGGCAGTTTTGCCATCGCAGATAGTAATGTGTCTATTCCGGTGTCACTAAGTTTTCGATAATTACAGGTGATGTCACTAACGAAGTTCCAATAGCAATGGCTGCTATTTCTAAAATTAAATCTATGATGATCGGTACTTATGGGAATCCTGATGGAAATCCCTCTAATGGTTCTACTTCCACTATTAGAGATGATTTTATTGTGCTCTCCGAGACTACAAGCAAGAGTGATGAGCACGGCGAGGAGCGTACATGACAAGAAACCGAAGACAGCGAAAGAGAAAGAAGAAGAAATCGAACCAGTATCTGTGTAATAAGTGGCAGTGGTAAGTAATTTTCATCAACTCCACGAAATTAATGTTTTTAGAGCACCCCTTGAGGTGCTCCATAGATTTGGTGGATCTCGGAGATCTAAGTTTTTTATGGATATGAAGTTCGCGAAGCTGGAGCGTTCGGCTGAAAAAGTTAGGAGTGGATCAGTCTTTTTTTAGAATCTGAAGTTGTGTGAAGCTCTACCAAACATCTCCTTAGCTTCGTAGTTTAACACCGGAAGAAGAGCAGGCGTCCATGTTAGATCACATCGAATCATGGATAGATTGAACCACCCTTTCGTGCGTGCATCTAGATCCATGTCAAACAAAAAGATATATGAAGAAGGCTGCTCCTATGATACATTTTTAAAAAATCACAAAAGTTATTGTGGAGTGTCATCGAAAAAAATAGAAAACCGTATTACACCAACTATGGGCATGTTTATGGCTCCTTTGGAACGCGGATTTTTTTCCCGTTCATATATTTTTCTTGTGAAAAATAAATTGAATTATGTAAAATTCCTATACAATTCCTGTGAATTTCGGCTTTAGATCAGCTATGATTAACTTAGTATTTTTTTAGCAGAAGGATTTACTTAGTAGTTGAGATTAAAAATTAGCAAAAACTAGCTAGCTATAGTTAACTGAAAAATAATTTATATATTAGCCTTATATTTAGATGGGCTAGAGCTAATTTAGACTAAAAATTAGTGGACTAACCGACTAACTATTAGTCCGCCTGTGCATCCAAACATGGCTATATGACCGGCCGGCTAGTTCATTTTCTTTTCACACAGAGGCAATGAGCAAGAAGTACCTAGTCAACTTGAAAGATGATAGCCTGATATAGGTTCATGAAAACGATACATATATTATCTATTGATGAAAGGAAAGCTCACTACGCACGAACGACGCACATCATCTCATTTTTGAAGACAGACTAACCAAATTTAAATAGAGCGTACACACAAAAACACACGGAGCTTGATGCTGAGGCGCCGATCGAACGAACGCCCGCTACTTCTGCTGCCACCCTTGCTGTATCCTTGGCGTGCTCATGCAGCTGGACGACGCGGACGCCGGCGACACGGCGAAAGAGAAGGACGCGCGCTCGCCGTGCGGCATGACCCGGGACAACGACAGCGACCGGCAGCGCCAGTGCGAGAAGGGCGAGGACGACGTGCTCGCGGCGCCGGCTTTCATCGTCGTCGGTGCCACCGCCGACGACGCCGACGCCCTCCTCGTCGCGACGACGCTCCCGCCGCTGCCAGCAGGAGCTGGGGTGGCGGGGGCACTGGCAGAGGCGGCTGACGGTGACGACGGCCACCTCGTGGAGAGGGGCGCCGACGCACGGAAGGTGACCCGCTGGGACTGGGACGCCGACACGTCCGGAGCCACTGCGCTCCTGCGGCTGGCGCTGCTGAGCTTCGGCGGCGGGGGCGGCGGCAGAGGCTTCTTGCTGGTGCGGCTGGGAAGGCGGAAACACGTGCACTTGACGACGCCGCTTACCGGCGGCGGCTCAGTGGCGCCGTTGGCCATCTTGGGCCGCAGCGGTGTCGGTGGCGGAGGACGCGGGCTGCTGGTTTGTCGTAGCAGCGGTTGGGAAGGCGCCAGAGGAACATTTCCTTTGGCAGAAGCCATGGGTGCTTCGCAAGGTGGTCTTAACCGACGAAATACGATGTGTTGTGTCTCTTGGCTAGGCTTTTATAGTAAACCAGTCAACCATAGAGCTCTTCTTCGTTTTCCTTTTCCTTTCTGTTTTTTGATGACTTGGGCGGCTGAGCTCACCTTCGTGTGACCGTGTCTTTGCCTTTTTTAGGCAAAAATATCCAGCATCTGAACGGTTTATTGTTTGCTTCCTTGTCGTCTAGCTAGGAAGTGGCCGGCATGCATAGCGACCCCTCATAGCAGCTGGAAACCATAGAAGAAGTGAGAGAAAGGGAAGCGCTGTTGAAATCTATATTCCCCCAAATTCAAAGTATTCTAGGGATTCTAATTAACATGGATTATGGGTAGAAACAAATGACTTGTGCAACATTTATTTAAGAGTTTTGCTCCGGTGGTCCTCTTTTACAACATTGCACAAATCTTAAAGTGGGGTGATTAATTATAATTAATTTTGTTTGAGATCTGGATTTCGGGCGGTCCTATCGTGCCCAAAGAAAACCCAGCCCTCCGTGTACCACAGTCCAGTTCCTCACGATCTCTCATCTCCCGTTGTCTACGAACCTTCCTTCTTGAGAGGGCGGACGGCGGCATGAGCGATCGAGGCGCCTTCCCCGTGTTGCATTCCCACACTGGTGTGCAGATGGCGATAGCGGACGCGACGAACGGTGAAGGCAGTAGCAGATGGGGGCGGACGGAGCTGGCAGTGGAATCTACAGCGGTGGACGCGACGAGGCGGGTGGCGTCACTGTCCGATTGACTACTGCTCGACCACCTCTCGTCATGCGTGATTCCATATTATGAGTAGAATACCTTACAATTTGATATAAATTTTGAATACTTTAATACCTTATATAGGTTGGAGGGAGTAAATTAAATCTAACTAATCCTAACTGGTATTTGGAAAAAAAAAACTCAAGGTCAATTCTTAAGGTTTAGAAATTACTATATTAATATGAATTATTATCAACCACTACCGTTATAAAAAAAGTAGCTTGTAATACTCTTATAAGCTTATAGTTGTTTCTCTGTTATCCACCTCTACCCTAATTAATAAAGGATAAAGGAAGAGAAACAGAGAATGCACGCACCCAATGATCTTGAGTCCTCATATGTAGAGGTGTAACAAAATCCAATCCTAGGTGCCAACATCGGGTCAATTCCGTTGTGTTGATATAGGCGGCATAAGGATGGGGACAAATCATATCATGCACTACATCATAGATGATTGGATGGCAACAAGGGAGTGCTCTTTCCCTACCATTGGGCCATGGACAAACGAGGAGGGAAGACGAGCATGATCGACAAAGAAGGCTACAACCTTGATAATGACACTATGCCAATTGTGTACAAAGGAGACACCATATCCAATAACATAGAATTGATACGTCTATGCAATGTATGATTAGATATACATATTTGATGAGTTCTTACCCATGGGCCATGGCTAGTGAACGAAACACGTCTATGATGATACTTAATCGCAAACACATTTCAATAAGACATGTCTCATAAAACGTGTATGAGAACCTCGAACCTGGAAAAAAATATCAAGTTTGTTGAATTCACGATTCAAGTCCGGACTCCTATCGCCCCGTCCCCTCCCCTCTCGTCTCTCTCTCATCCTTGTCTCTGTTGCTGCCACCGTCCCTCCTCCTCTTCCTCCTCCTCCTCCTCCGTTGCCATCTATCTCTCTCATCTCCCCCATGTCGCTCCCATCACTCCACTACATCATCTCCCACTTGCCTCTCCCAATGAGATCGTCCGCACCCCACCTTCCTCTCCCTATGACCCTACCACCCTCAGTCCTTTCTCACCACACGAACGGCGACCTTCAACGGCAGATCTAGCAGGGGACGGGACGGATCTGGTGGAGGCCGTGTGTATTAGAGAAAGCCCGCCTCCTCCTTCCTCCTTTTTCCCGTTGCGTCTGACTCCGTGCTCGAGATGCTATAAGTGAGTAATTTAGTTATAAATATAAAGGTTACTCTCGTTGTCCTAAAATATAAGGGTTTTTTAGTTATCCTAAGTCAAATTGTACTAAATGAGCTTCATTAAATACAATATAAAATTTATTTTACTATTTTCATAATTTACATCTTTGGTGTGGTACATTTTGATACTCTTTTTCCTTTTGTACAAACTTGAGTTAGTTTGAGTTAGGACAACTAAAAATCCATAATATTTCAGAACGAGAGAGTACTTTAGATTAGGTTTCATAATAACATATGCATGTAATTTAGATGTAGAATGATGGGTACTTTATGTTGTTTTTATAATGGCAAAGGTTAGTGTTTTTTAAGAAAACAGAATAGATCCCATGTCTGTTATCATTAATGGTGATTAAAGCCTACATAGCTGATGAACAGATCTTTCTTTATTTTTGTAATAATTTCTATGATTTGTCTTTTTATAATACGTCTCGTGAGAATTAACGAGAGGAGCCACAGTTAGTTGAAACTTTTAATTAGTAATAGTAAGATAAAATATAGAAGTGTAGGTGATAGATTAATATCAACTAATCGGCATTCTGCAGTACCTTTAATTCAGCATCATAACTTGTAGAAAATGAAGGGTCTGTTCGGCTGACATATGCCGGTTGATTTCGGCTGATTTAATAGTGTTTTGAGGAAGAATAAGCTGAAATAAGTGATTAATCCGGCTGAAATGTTCCGTGGTGTCCCCGAACAAATGCTTATTGACAAACTTACATAATTTTACTTGAGATCATCATGCAGCGTCTATTCAGGTCCGGACAAGTCGTCGACATATAGCGCTACTAAATCGTTGTATGATATCAGCCAATAATTGTTTACGACATTGACAAGCAATGGGTTGGCTTTTGCACCCTATTCGTTTGGTCGTTTCTGTGACTTATAAGCTGGCTGATACTATTTTGTTGTGAGAGAAAAACACTGTATCATAGCTGATAAGCATGGCTGATACGATCAAACAAACAGGGTGTTAGATAGGACGAATGAACTTAATCTATATAAGATAGCTGGGTATTATTGGTGACTCACTCCTTGTTATGAGCTGGATGCACCTCTCTGCCGGCTCCTTTGCTTTGGTGGCATGTGGCTTACGCGCGTGCGGCTTGTTAGATGTTGCTAACTGTAGCTAGCTCGGAATACTTTTATACGGTGCAGTCGTTGTACATACTGTCTTGTCTTGTGTGTCGCTCTTGTAAAACATTTTGCCTCTCTTTAGCAGTACAACCTGCCTTTTTTTTTGTCCCCGTGTTTGACCTAAGATTCTGAAAAATAACATCCGTTGATTATGAATTTTCAAAAACTGTTTATATAAATAAAAGAGTAGGGCAATGCTAAGGTACACCTTTTACCTACTAGGAGGTAATATCTGAGATAAATCTGAACCGTTGATTTTTCAGATTTATGAATTACTTAATAAATTAAAAAAATCTAGAAAAAACAAAAATACTTCCTCGGCATTCCCCTAATGACCGGAGGGGATAAGGGGAAATCCTTTAATCACACGAGAAACAAAAACACCGGCAGCTGAACGGACCCATCTATCCCGAATCCCGGAATCACGCGAGAAATAGAAGCACTGATTCCTTTCCCTCTCCATGCGCGTAGCAACATGGAATCCCGATGACAGGTGCATCATCGAGCGGGCGGACTGGCGTCGGGTACACGCCGGTCGCCCTCGCACGGTGTCACCGACCGACCATCCTCACTCCCTTCCAACAAGGTGCACACCTTTTCTTCCACCCAACTACAATAAAACGACCAACCAAACAACCATATGTTGCATTGCATATGCCTGACCACAGCCACCTAGGCTTACCCCCTTACCTAGGTCCAAAGAAGCCACCTAACCAAACACACCCATAATTTTCGCGTTGCTGGGAGCCTAACTTGAGTAAGCACACAAGGGTGGGCCAATAGAAGCCATGGAGTCTCTGGCGAGCAGATTAGCAGAAAGTTGGCAGTCCAAGCAAGGAACCAATCATCACCCTATTCGTTTGATCGTATCAGTCATGCTTATCAGGCATGATACAGTGTTTTTCTCTCACAAAAAACAACATCAGCCAACTTATAAGCCACAAAAACGATTAAGCAAACATGAGTGCATGTGTGGTGGCTAGCCTGCATGAGGCGAAACAGGCTAACAAACAAGACGATGTTGCACGGTACAAGCCAGGATACTCTAGCCCATGTCCTGTTTGGATTGCCCCGGATTACACAATCCAGCTTCTATAATCTGAGCTGGAACCAAACAGGTCCAACTTTTACTACAGCTTTTGTAATCCAACCACTCCAACTTCTACAATCTCACAAGCTGAGAGAACCTAGCTTTCAGCAGCTTCTAGATAGAGAAAAGACAAAAATACCCTCGTCCTTGTCTAGATATTACCCTCATTTGCCATCGCAACCACAACATGTGGCGTTGTCATGCATGTCTGCCTCCCTCCTGCCAAGGTTTAGCCTGTTCGGCTGGGGCTGAAACGATCGTATACGATCGTGGATTATTACTGCTGGCTGGTTTGGTGTGAGAGAAAAATACTATTCTGGCTGAAAATTTACGATCGTTTACGACCCAGCGAACAGGCCGGTTGTTTGCCACTTATGCACTACAATCTTGGAGTACAATCTTGCATCCAAACGACCGCTTCTTGCAGCTTTTAAAATCCAACTTTTAACTATCCAGCTTTTACTATCTGGATTCGACAATCCGTAGGGACCCAAACGCGGCCCTAGTTCCTCCTGCCAACTTGATCTGGGGTTATTTTTGTTCTGCCCCACTTCTAGCCTTTTTTTTTTTGAGTGGACTGCCCCACTTCTAGCTGTCTGCAGCAGTTTGCGTACGGGCCTGGAATCAGAGCATACCTAGAAACAGCCCAACATATGAACATATGGTGCGCATGCATGGGCTAACGCACAAGACCATACCAACCAGCCCAAGTTATCAAAAAAAAAAAAAACAAGTCCAAACCCAGTCCACTAAATGATACTACTCCATTTCTTTCTTTTTTTTTGCCTGAAACACCTCCGAATCCCGCAGCGCGAGGACGAAACCCTCGCACCGTTTCAGTTTTCCCTCCCAAACTTGCCCCACATTTCTAAATCCACGCTCCCTCGCAGGCGCTTCAACTTTCCCCTTCCCCGCAACCACCCTGTGCCCTTCTCGCCGCCTCGATTCCGCTTCTGTGCTCGGCTAGGGAGAGCGGCGGAGTATCGGGCGGGTGACCTCTACCTCGCCGCGGCGGGGCGGCGACGCTCGCAGTCTGCTTGCTGCTGCATTTTCGAATACTGAGATGGCCATGGAGATCTCCCCGACGCAGTCGCCACCGCGGACGCCGCGTAGGGCGGCGAAGCCGCGGCTGTTCATCAAGGAGATGGTCCTCCGCAACTTCAAGTCCTACGCAGGGGAGCAGCGCATCGGTCCTTTCCACAAGGTCTCCTCTCTCTCTCTCTCTCATTCACACACGCCCACTCTCGTGGGTGCTAACAATTTGTTTAGATTTAGAAATCCTAGGAGCGAAGTTTGCAATGTTGTAATACATTTACATCAACCTGTGCCTATGGAAACTTAATCTACTTGCGCACTATGTCATAGCTTCAATTTTGCTGTTCTGCCCCACTTCCAATTCATGTCATTGTTCCCCGATGAAGAAACGGTAATATGTTAGTTATTTGTGGTTGCTAGTGGCAGTCAAGCCGTGATACCGGAAATCTCAGTGGAACTTCTGTAGCTAGTATTGGCTTACATGTGACTATGTGAGTGTGGGGGTGGCTTTAATTCCAAACCCTAGGGTACAGTTTACAGTGTAGTGTTGTCATTTACAAACTCTGTTTTACTGGTACAATTGTTAACACAGATCACTTTTGATTTGTGATACATAAACATACAACACAAATGTAATTTGTTCTTGCCAGAAGAGAGGTGTTCCATTCAGTTCTATAGATTTTGTTATGATTATGCTTGCATATCTAAGGAAGTATCAATGTTACAACCAAACTCATGGTTTAGCTTGCACTTCCCATTTTGTTAAAGCTATGCTCCTAAAGTAACTGATCCTTCATCTCTGCAGAAAGTATTACAATTCATATAAAAAAGTAAAACTGGATCTAAACATAGATTTGGGCATGTTTGGGAGGGCTTCTTAGGGCTTTGGCTCCTTGCTATAGTACCCAAAAGAGCCGGAGCCGGAGCTGGTGAAGACAGTTTTTCTGGCTTCACTGACTTCTAAGTTCATTTTGGAAAGAGAGAGAAAATGGCTCCCTGCTAAAGTGCACAAGATTCCCTAGTAGCCGGAGAGGAGAAGCCCTCCTAAACGGGTCATAGATAACATACCAGGATTTCTGAGGACACATATCGTTTTCGTTATCAATCTAATCCTAGAAACATTGTTATAATCAAACACAAACAAACAATAGTTCTTCAGGATACAGAAATTACACACCAAGGTCATGTAATAGTGCTCATGTTCAATAGGATGGAAATAATTCCATTATTTTTTCTCCAAATGTATCCATTGAACAATGATTGAAGACCAATAGAAATATAATTTCTTATCTTGGTTGCAGAGCTTCTCGGCTGTTGTTGGGCCAAATGGCAGTGGAAAGAGTAATGTCATTGATGCAATGCTTTTTGTGTTTGGGAAGCGTGCAAAGCAGGTTGGTATTGTTGCTTAATGTTGCTTTCTTTTTCAGTGGTTATCACTATATTCATTTAGTTCATCTCACTGGCGGATTTTATGTTATTTGTTCTATGTCAGCAAATCATTTGATTTGTTTATAGCCTATCAATGGTAGATTTTAGCATGTCACTCTAAGTTCCACAATAATTTAAAAGGTTGAGAGTAATGTCCTGGCATTTAAGTATGTAAGCATATAAATTATCCTCCTATGTATTATTTGAAAGATTTATTCTAGAACCTAGGACATTGATGCTTCAATCGTATTAATCCTCTTCTTTTAGACAATAATCATTTTAATCCTCTGGTTGCCAAGTAGTCTGTGTTTTAAAGTTGACACTTTAGAGTTCTTGTCTGCTAGTACACTGGTTTCTCATCATTGTTCCCTGTTTTCCCTTTGAACTTTACATGGACAATGCAAATTTTCACAAATTTGTTCATACAGGCGATCCAATTCATTTTTTTTTCTTATCAATATCCCTGCTTTTAAAGAAAGTAAAACATGTTTGAGATACAAACCCCACTGGGATTACCAGTTCACAAAGAACACATACTTATACGGAAATAACATTGATCCAATCCATTGTTAGTTGCTATCATTACTTAGGTTAATTTTTGTATTCCTTTTGTTTCAGCTATATATTCTGTTCATGATTAGTTCTTCCATTAACTGCAGATGCGCCTAAACAAGGTCTCCGAGCTCATACACAATTCTTCCAATCATCAGAACCTAGACAGTGCTGGTGTTTCTGTTCATTTTCAAGAAATCATTGACATGGTATTATTTGAGGCTTGAGTTGAGTATTCGACATTTCTTATTTGTACTGCCAATAATCATTTTACTTTCTCTGTGGCTGTAAGCAGGATGATGGGAACTACAGTGCTGTTGAGGGTAGTGACTTTGTCATCTCAAGGGTTGCTTTCCGTGACAACACTTCTAAATACTACATAAATGAGCGTGGAAGCAATTTTACTGAAGTAACTAAACTGCTGAAGGGCAAGGGAGTTGACCTTGATAATAATCGCTTTCTCATCCTCCAGGTTTTGTGTGTTCTTCACATATTACACATGTATAAGACACAATTCAAGTGTAATTTGTAGGTCCTTGAGATTTGGTTTCATCACTCACATTTCCACTTCTCTCGCATAGGTTCTTTGTTTAAGCCTGCATGAATTTTTTGTGCAATTCCAATTATGTTTTCTGCTTTTACAACTGCATAACTTCTGAAGTGGGCACTATACAGGGTGAGGTTGAGCAAATCTCCCTAATGAAACCAAAGGCTCAAGGTCCACATGATGAAGGTTTTCTAGAGTATCTTGAAGACATAATAGGGACAAACCAGTATGTTGAAAAAATTGAAGAAGCGTACAAGCAGTGAGTTTCTGACAGAATTTTTGATGCATGCTGTTATAACTAGTGCTTTATATCTATTTTGCAACGATTTTGTTTCTTACCCTGTTATGGATCTGTTAGACTCGAAGTGCTCAATGAAAAGCGAACTGCATCAGTGCAGATGCTAAAATTAGCTGAGAAGGAAAGAGACAGTTTAGAGGTGCTGATCTAAGTGTTTATGATTTCACTATTCACTGTTTGGCCATTTAACCCCTACTAATGGAGTTATTTTCCTGTAGAGTGCAAAAAATGAAGCTGAAACATACATGCTGAAGGAACTTTCACTTCTGAAATGGCAAGAAAAGGCAACGAAGCTGGCTTCTGATGATGCTATCTCACGTGTTAATCAGTGTCAAGAGAATGTGGCAGACCTGGAAAAGAATCTTGCCTCCGAAAGGTTATTTGTTACAGATGGACAATTTTTCCCCTCCCCTTTACATGTTTCCTGAGTAAGCATATTGGCTATAATCCAGGGAGAAGATACAGCAGAATTCTCAAACTCTGAAGGAAATGGAGTCTATTTACAATAAACATGTCAAAAGGCAAGAGGTATTGTCTCAACTTACCATTTCTTTAACCTAATCAGTCATTGAGTTAAAGTCATTTATTTCCTATATTTGAAGGTTAGAAAACACATTATTTTCTGTCACAAGGTTAGTGCGAATGGGCCTTTTACAGCCAACTAATAGCATCCCTATTTTTATTTGCTTCTTTTATATCTTTAGGACCTTGAAAATAACATGAAGAGCTGCAAGGACCAGTTTAAAGAGTTTGAGAGGAAAGATGTAAAATACAGGGAAGATTTAAAGCATCTTAAGCAGAATATCAAGAAGCTGGATGACAAAGCTGAAAAGGTAATACTGATGGTTTCAATTGTAACACTGAAATTATAGTTGAAGCAAGACTGACTATTGTTTCACCTACATTCTAACACAGGATACATCAAAACGTGATGAAAAAACAAAAGAGATGGAGGAGTCATCCAATCTCATTCCACAGCTGGAGGCAGAAATACCCAAATTGCAAGAGCGACTTAATGAAGAAGAGAAAGTCTTAGAGCAGATCAAAGCATCCTCTCGAGGTGATGTTAGCTTACAGTATCCATGTTCATTGAATTATTCTGTCTGATAACCAAACTTTTCCCTTTTGTAATTACAGAAGAAACTGAGAGGCTTCGTGCTGAACTTACTCAAGTACGAACTGAACTTGAACCATGGGAAAATCAAATTATTGAGCATAAAGGAAGGTTAGATGTTGCATCTGCTGAGAAAAAGTTAATGAAAGAAAAGGTAGGGCTTCTATGCACCCCACCCCCTTCTTTTTTGGGAAACAAGAAGACTCCTATCAAATACTTCAATTCGTTTTGAGTCCTTCAGTTGGAGATATATGATGCACTGATCACAAGCAAAAAAATCTTCGATTTCTTATGTGCAATAGTTTTTGCCATCCTAACCTGGGCTTACCAAGCCTGACACTGACACTGCAAGCTTTGTATAACTAAATCCACTTACCCTTTTTGTTTGTTTGAGAAACATCAATTTGATTTTTTTTTTCAATTTTGTCCATTGCATTTGAACTTAATTCCCTGTTTTCAGCATGATGGAGCTCAAGCAGAATTAACTGATGCACAAAACCAGATGGAAAGTATAAAGGAGAAAGTTAAAACAAAGGATTCATACATTGTGGAGCTTCAAGAAAAAATAGAGAAACACCAGAATGAAGCATCTGAAGCTCGCAAAATCGAACAGGTAAATTACTTCCAGCTTAATTTTGAACCAAACCCACGCGCTGAGTTTCCTTAAGTTTAGTCATTACTTACGCGGAGTATGCCGAGTCTCCTGAATGTATTGCTCGCAAAATTGTTGCAGGAATGCCAAAAACAGGAGGATTCACTGATCCCTCTGGAACAAGCAGCAAGGCAGAAAGTTGCAGAGATGAAAACCACTAGGGATTCTGAGAAGAACCAAAGTACTGCTCTGAAAGCAATTTTGCAAGCCAAGGAATCAAATGAAATACAAGGCATTTATGGTAGGCTTGGTGATCTTGGTGCAATTGATGGTAAGCTATACTCCCTCTGCCAACAAAATAAAATATGTCCTATGATGTGTGTTGCCTGACTGTTATGTCTTTGACAGCACATATTAGGTTCAATATGTGGATTTAACGGTTATAAACTGTTATATATAAATTTTCTATATATAGTAATTTCTGTAACACTAAACTTCCTTTTCATACATGTTACAGTAAAATGTAAGGTCTTCCTCTTCAGTTTTGACAAATCTCCATGCTTCATTTTACAGAAACTGTGAATGACATTTGTTTATCTATTTAAATGAGAGGGAAGGACTTGACGTATGCCTCGCATCGAATCTGACCGCTAAAATGCATTGGTTTTGCCTTGAGATGAATGCATATGGTTGTGGATCCCACTGCCACAGTATGCTAGAGATACTTAGAATAGCATTTATTATATTTTCTGGTGTCCTATGTGACAAAAGGGTACCACAGAAGCTAAAAGGCAAGTTTTATAGGACGACGATTAGACCTGCTATGTTGTATGGTGCAGAATGTTGGCCTACGAAAAGACGACATGTTCAACAGCTAAGTGTCGCGGAAATGTGTATGTTGCGTTGTATTTGCGGTCATACAAGAAGGGATCGAGTTCGGAACGGTGATATACGTGATAGATTAGGGGTATCGCCAATTGAAGAAAAGCTTGTCCAACACCGGTTGAGATGGTTTGGACATGTGCAACGGAGACCCCTAGAGGCACCGGTGCGTAGTGGAATCCTAAGCCAGGATAGTAACGTGAAGAGAGGCAGAGGAAGACCGAAGTTGATTTGGGTAGAGGCAATAAAAGGAGACTTGAAAGGATGGAATATACCCAAAGACTTAGCCTTAGATAGGAGTGCTTGGAAGACAGCTATTCACGTGCTTGAACCTTGATTGCTTCTGATGGGTTTCAACTCTAGCCTACCCCAACTTGTTTGGGACTTAAAGGCTTTGTTGTTGTTCTACTCCCTCCTTTTCAAAACAAAGTTGGTCGTTGTAGTTTTGCCCTATGTCAAACTTTTATTAACATCTACAATACAAAATGAATGCACTATGAAGACTATTGCATGGTGTATTTTATGAAAGAATTTTATACTGTAGATGTTGGTGCATTTTTCTATGAACTTGGTCATACTCCCTATGTTCCGTTTTATGAGGCGCACTTGGAATGACATGGTCTCCTAAATTACATTTTGACCATTCATTTACTTTATATTTTATTGTTTATTTTATAAACTCATGATTATTGGATAGTACAATTGCTTACAAATCTAACATTATCAAGTTCGTATTACAAAAGTTAAATATTGTTAGCCAAATTATTGGTCAAAGATTTTAAAGTTTGAATCTTGATATAAATGTGCCTTATAAAAGAGCACGGAGGTAGTAGTTAGGGAAGTTTGACTTATGGCAAAACTAAACCGACCTACATCTTGGAATGTAGGCAATAAATTTAGCAGTTGTCCAACCGTAGTTGCTATGTTTCAGGTAAGTTTACATTTTCCCCAGTATGACCTTTTTAGATGATATATAAATGTTAAGGACAAATATCTGCATTTTGTTTTTACCATGCCAATGTTTGTTTCTTGATATCAGTGGACGAATCCCCTCACGGATTAGTATTTATGGAGTTTAAGTCTCCCATCTTAGTATGTTCGATTAGGGAGATCTTGTTTGTAAAGGCATGGTCACCAAGATCTAGGAAATTGTTATATTTGCTAGAATCCGTGAATGTCATTATGCAATCATACAGTGTTGATTGAAAGCTTGTATGAAGCATTTCTGGATCTTAATTTTTTAGAAACTCTGGTCTGCAGCAAAATATGACGTGGCCATATCAACAGCAGCTTCATCTGGGCTTAATTATATTGTGGTTGAAACAATAAATTCGGCCCAAGCTTGTATTGAGTTGTTACGTAGAAGGAACCGTGAGGAAACTGTAACTTGTTTGATCCTGGTAACACTCCTTTTTTTTTCTGTGCTTATGTGTTTTCAATTTTTTACCTGTTAATTTCATTGTTGTAATTGGAAACTTATGTCACAGGAAAAACAAACGCACCTCCTTCACAAAATTAAAGAGAAAGTAAAAACACCTGAAGGAGTTCCACGCCTTTTTGATCTGGTAAAGGTTAAAGATGAGAAGCTGAAGTTAGCCTTCTTCCATGTCTTGGGGAATACTGTTGTTGCAAATGATCTTGATCAGGTTGGTCCTTGATTTTTTTTGGTCTACTACTTTTTCCTCCTCACATAGTTGCATGTAATTGTAATTTGTGCTGTGATTAATGGTATCTCAACACCTGTCTTTGTCAGGCTTCGCGAATTGCATATACTGCAGCAAAGGAGTTCCGTCGGGTAGTTACCCTAGGCGGTGAACTGTTTGAGAAGTCTGGTACCATGAGTGGTGGTGGTAAAAGGGTACAACGAGGCATGATGGGAACAGCTATCCGAGAAAGCTTTTCAGAAGAGGCTATTAAAACTGCTGAAAATGAACTTATCAAGCTTGTTGACGAACTCAACAAGCTGCGAAAAAATGAATGATGCTAAAAAACACTATCGATCCATGGAAGATGCTAAATCCCGTCTTGAAATGGAATTGGCAAAAGCTAAAAAGGAGGTACTTAAAAAAGCAGTGTTCTGCCTACCTTCAAGTCGGTTGTTTCTGGTGCCTTGGTCTGACTACTTTTTTATCTTTTTTTTCCCCTCTCGAAATAGGTTGAGAGTATGAATGCACAGTATATTTACAATGAAAAGCGACTAGAGTCTCTGAAAGCCGCTTCACAACCCAAAGCTGATGAGCTTCGCAGAATGAAAGAGCTGGATGGCATCATATCTAGTGAGCAAGCTGAACTAGATAGACTCACAAAGTGTTCCAGCAAACTTAAAGATCAGGCAAGTGCCTATACACTAAGTCTCATTTCCATTTCCAGGCCATATTCATCTCTACCTTGTGTCTTTTTCCCTGTCATTTGCATTCACTTTGCTTTAGAGTGGTCACACGATAAAAGGGGCCAGCTCTCCAAGTTCAGGACTCTTTGTTTGAAATATTTTTGAATGCATCTCCTTATATTTTTATCATTGTTGCTAACAGAATCTAGCTTTGCCACCTTAACCTATTTGTAATGTATACCAGGCTTCAGAACTTCAACAGAAAATTGAAAATGCTGGAGGGAAGATGCTGAAGGACCAGAAGGCAAAAGTTGGCAACATCCAATCTGTAAGCATGTGGCCTTTTGCTTGTTTTGGTTTCCTTTCTTTGTGGCAATCTGTTTTATGGTTTGATTTTCGTAATGTCAGGAACTTGACAAAACAAGTTCAGAAATCAACAGACACAAAGTTAACATAACTTCAGGTGATAAGTTGGTGAAAAGGTTAACCAAGGGCATTGAGGAGTCCAAGAAAGATAGAGAAAAACTTTTTGCTGAAAAGGAGAATATGCTGTCTATGTTCAAAGAGATTGAGAAGAAAGCATTTGTTGTTCAGGAAGAGTATAAGAAAACACAGGAGGTATTTGTTCCATTGCATTGCACTCCTGGCTGGCCCCCAATTTATTTGCGCTTTCTGATCAGGATTTCTTTATTTGGTTTTACTTAGATGATAGACAACCATAAGGTTGAGCTTGACAAAACTAAGGAAGAATACACGAAACTAAAAAAAGCAATGGATGAACTGAGAGCCTCGGAGGTATGTAATTTAGATCCTGTTAAGTGGTGGTGTCATAATTCTGTTGTATTGTTTCTTTCCACAACCTTGTGTGTTTGGCCAAAAAACAGGTTGACGCTGAGTACAAATTGCAAGATACAAAAAGGCTTGCCAAGGAGTGGGAAATGAAGATGAAAACATTCAAGAAAAGGCTTGATGAAATTCAGACAAATGTTGTTAAACACATGGATCAGTATGTTTAGATGTTTCAATTTTTGCTGTAACTTCGTGACTTGTTTTCTGTGGTTTCTTCTAATATTATTATGCATTTTTTTTTTTCAGAATCCAAAAGGATGCTGTTGATCCTGAGAAACTCAAAGCGACTCTAGGTGATGAGCAACTAAATGACACGTGTGACATGAAAAGGGCAATGGAGATGGTGGCATTGTTGGAGGCTCAGATTAAAGATTTGAGCCCAAACCTGGATTCCATAGCAGAGTATGAATGCATGAGATGCCCATTGACAAAACATTTTTTGTATCAATGATTTCATTATTTCTCCAAATTGAACCAGGTACCGCACAAAGGCTCGCTTGTATGGTGAGCGTGTTGATGAGCTAAATGCTACCACTCAGGAACGTGATGATCTTAAAAAGTTGTACGATGGGTTAAGGAAGAGAAGGTATGTCTTTCTAAATAACCTTAGAGGATCCTTAAACTTTAGCAGTTATGTTGGTCAGTTTTCATCTCTTACCTGCATTGTATATTATTTCAGGCTAGATGAATTCATGGCTGGGTTCAACATAATATCTTTGAAACTGAAGGAGATGTACCAGGTACTGAATACATACAGCATCCTGTAGTGTAGCTCCTTTGGTTTACTTGATGTACACAGACACAGACCAGATGACAGAAAGTTGACATAGTAAGCAAACGAGATTAAGCTTTGCTCAACCCTTATTGCAACAATGTTTGTGCTAACTGAAGTGGTTTTATCTTCTAGTCGTGTGGCATGTCGCACTTGTTCAAATGAATTTTTGTATTAACTAACGATATGGTTTCAGATGATTACTCTTGGAGGCGATGCCGAACTGGAACTTGTTGATTCCTTGGACCCATTTTCAGAAGGTGTTGTTTTCAGTGTGAGGCCTCCAAAGAAAAGCTGGAAAAACATTGCCAATTTATCTGGTGGTGAGAAGGTATGTTCCATTCATGTAGTGTTGTGTTAGTCTTGTTTATTTAATGGACAGGGATGTTACCCTCAAAGTTATTGCCTAAGTTGCTGTTTTCACATGATTTTACACTTTCAGGATGAGTCAACTTGATACATAAGTTTGTTTTGGTTGTTTAAAATGAGTTCTGTAAATGATGTTCCAATCAGAATCAGTTACTATATTGTAAAATATCAGAAATATCGTCAACATATTTACAGATCTGTGCCGTTTCTGTGGTAAAGGCACTATCAGATATAAGCCAATAAACTTCATCATTGCTACAGCTAGGAGCCTAGAAGGAATATTAATATGTAATTTGATGTTGATCTGTGCTTGAGCCATAACTACTATCGGTAAATACTACCAGCTATGCACTGAATTGGGATTGACTAACACTTAAAATGGCCGTACCATTCTTTTTTAGATAATGGAAACATTTGGCTAACTCCTCAGAGGAATTAGAGCAACTTATTACAACCAAATGACCGGACCGAGTTTAACATCACAAAGCCAACTCAAAACTCAATTCTTGTCTAGAAATAAAAGGCCATATGAAGATGCAAAGAAACACATAGCCGCATACCTCCATTCTCCAAGTTGCGGCACGCGTCCAAAACCATCTTTATATTGGAAATATCATTGTGCATAAAAGTAGAGACTGTTTATTACTTAATTATAGGAAATTCACTACCTGTACATCAGCTATTTTGCATACAATACATCAGCTAGATGAGTGCAACTTGCAACAGGCAAGGCCATGCCCAGATGTTGAATATCCCATCTCTGACTGTCTTGCCAGCACTGATGAATGCCTTGCCAACAGTTATTCATGTTAGCTGGATGCGATTCGAATTTGTATGCGTACTTTATTTAGTGTATAAAAAGTTAATCCTTTGCAGGTACTCTTTTCATTCCATTGCCTCTTTTGGAAGAAGACTTAGCCTTAGATAGGAATGCTTGGAAGACAGCTATTCACGTGCCTGAACCTTGATTGTTTCTGTTGGGTTTCAACTCTAGCCTACCCCAACTTGTTTGGGACTTAAAGGCTTTGTTGTTGTTGTTGCCTCTTTTGGAAGAACTAATTTCCTTTTAATTTAGCATTTGATATGTTGACAGGTTGGCTGATCCCTGTTGCTTTCCAAACTCCTTAGCGTCTGTTTTAGCTACATAAATTACTTCAAAATCGCAACACCAATGTCTGCTATCCAAACTCCTTGCCTTCTGTTTTAGCTACATAGATTGCTTCAAAATTGTAACACCAATGTCTCTCTGGAATACTTACCATTTCTGATGAGCCTTTCGTCTTGCAGACGCTTAGTTCGCTAGCTTTGGTGTTTGCTCTTCACCACTATAAACCTACTCCCTTGTATGTTATGGATGAGATTGATGCTGCGTTGGGTAAGTCTTGCGACCCTTCTTTTTATTAATACTGTCTGTGATTTCAAGAGATTGATGCATTTATCTCTTATAGACTTTAAGAATGTATCAATTGTGGGACACTATGTGAAAGATAGGACCAAAGATGCACAGTTCATTATTATAAGGTATTTACTATCAGCTCAGTTTCAATATTTTCTTTGTCAATACTTAACACCATCTCTAGAAAGTTGAAGTACTAGAACAAAGATGCATCCATATCTGAGATGGCCTTGGGTATAATGTAAACTCACGTGTTATTTTGCAGTCTGAGGAACAACATGTTTGAACTAGCCGACAGGTTGGTTGGTATTTACAAGACGGACAACTGCACCAAGAGTATAACAATCAACCCAGGAAGCTTCGGCGAGAGCATGAAAGTAGTGTAGTGTGCCCAGCTACGGGTCCTGCTAAATGTAACCACCCTAGTGTCCTTCGCTAAATTAACCACTCCAAATGTAACCCTTGTAGTGTCCTCGTGGAACCGAGGTTCCTCCGGCATTGTGGTTTGCTGTGCACTCTGTGAAGCAGTATGCTATGTAAAGTATAATTGGCAAAAGCAGTATGCTCAACCATTTCATTTCTCAAACTACTTTTCTCCCACCTTATTGAAGTCCAGCTTGACACATTGGTATTTCACTTAGAAGCAGACGGACACATCTTGCTTTGCTTCTAAGCCTAGGTACAACGCACTAAGGGCACTTCTAATGCTACGACCAAGACAATTTGCATATCATTTAATATGATACTGTTTAGGATATTTTGTTGAAGTAAAAATAACATTAAATTGGTGAGTTGAAAACTAAAACGGTCTCGCACAAAATCCAAAGTTAGAAACTAGATGAAATTCATTGGAATTGGCATCATAGATACAAGACAGAATAAGAGTGGATAGAATAGAGTAGGGAGGAAAATGATTGGTTGATTGGGGAGAGGACAAAGACAGGAGTTCATTTGACATTGTGCATTTTGAGTTATAGTTTACTAGATGATGTCTATATGACATGGGATGTTATAGAAACTATTAATTAGCTTCTTCATTAAGACTGCCCAAACGAGTTATGCGAGAGAGTTGAAGCGCATTTGCGCACTGTTTTGCAGCACTACTTCAGCAGTATTTTTCAGTAAAAGAACAATATTTTTCTCTTACAACAAATCAGCATAAGCATCAATATAAGTCAAATTTCAGCGAGACTTGCCACCCCCTGCTTTGCCTGAATAGACAAGAACTCCTTGAATTTCTAAGCTTTCCTGTTTTTTACTTTCAGAAATACACCACGGTCATTAATATATTCATTTACAGCTCAGGAGGAGAGAGAACTAGATAAAAAAAATACTATTTTTGTCATTTTGATCCTTTCATCTTCCTCCTCCACATCCTTTTCCCTCTTTCCACCTTCCATTTGTCTCTCTCGTGCAACCTAATCTCTCCTGCCATGATGGGCCTCACGGAGGGTCATGCTAAGCAACTTCTAGCTCCCATCCGACCTCCAGAAGCACCCGCGCTACGCGTGCCATCGGGAGATGGCTTCTGAGACAACGGCACCCATGTTGGGGCCTCGCCTCCTCTACTTCACCGCTCTACTTCACCGCACAAGAGGTCCCCGCTTTCCCACACCCATGGCCGATTTGCGTGGCGGGCACTACCCTTGCCTCTGCAGACCTGCTCCACGCCTTCTCGTTGAGCAACCTCTCGGCGTCACTCTGGCTGCAGCTCTCTATGTCGGACCCGCTCCCTGCCGCTATCCACGGCAAGGTGTCCATGAGTCTATGCCTAGGTAAATTTTTTTCCTTTTAGTTCACTTTTAGTCCATGTATCAAACACCTCTGGTCTAAAAGTGGCCCACACGAACTTTAGCTCAACTACAGTTTAGTCCACGTCCACCTAAACTTTAGCTATAGGTCATTCAAACAGGGCTCCGTCACCAACAAGCCCCCACGAGCGCCACCAATGCTGCCGCATCCGATACGACATTAGAGTGGTTGCGGTCCAGCTTGAAGTAGGTGGACTCCATGCTAACGCACGTTGGATAGGGTAGGACCTACACGGAGGAGATGACATGAGTGCATTGTAGTAGCAATGTCGGCAAGGTTACATTGTCGTTGATGACCGACTACTGGTGCGGGGTGGGGGTAGGATGAAGGAGGAGGTAGAGATGCGAGAGCGCTGTGACCGCGGGGAGGCCGTGGCGGGCAACGATAGTGTTGCCTCTAGTGGCACAGGTTGTGCGCTAGACAGAATGTGGAGGAAAGAGAAAGCAATAAAGAATAGAATGAAAAGAAGGTTATGATAAAAATAACACTTTATCGTAATTCTCTCTTCTCTTGAGCCTATAATAAGTCCGTTCGTTTTTAAATGCGAATTGGTTTATATAATGGCATTAAAAAAATCTTTAAAGCGATTTGGTGTGAAAAGAAAATCTTTATTTAAACCGTAAATTATAAGCCAGATAGAAACGAATAAGGCGAAAACGAACATGCTGAATAATATTTTAATGGATATGATGTCTTCCAGCGAATTGAAGCCCTGTTGCCACCGTCTGTGTTGTATCACCCGCACATGCCACCTCAATGAAGATGGAAGAGCAATTGCAGCCGCTACACTGAACGTAGTCACACACTAGAGTGTTCACTGGATAATTAAACATTTTTCGGTCGATGTTACTCGTGTTCTATAGTAAATTTTCCCATGTTTTCTTGTAGCAGTAATACCTCTCGTACGGTGTCTAGTATTCTCATGCCCAATTGGCCAGTTCGACTTATTCAGAAGCCGGTTTTTAGTTAAAACAATATTTTTTTTCTCACAACAATTCTATCAAAACAGTATTTTCAGTCCAGTTTCAGCAAACCGAAATTGTCTTGTTTGCGTGTCATGACCTCGTGGGAACAACCGTATACGGCCCGGTAAGATTTGGACCATCTCTGGGCCGCTTTGTCTACGTCATGGGTGTTTTTCATTGAGCGTTCGAAAGTATCGAAGTTTTGCAGCAAAATTATTCTAAAGCTTTTGTCGTGAAAAATACTACAGATGAATTGGAAAACGCATAGCTGGCGCAGTAATATATCCGTTGGTTAGCGTAACTGATGCCATAATTATTTTTTAGAGTTAACCGATTTCCTAATAGTTGTATTCTTTTTCTATAAAAAATTGATCAAATGTGAACTAATTTACTTTAAGATAACTTTAAAAATTAATTTATTCAGAGATCAAGAGAGTATTTTTCAAAAATCAATTAATCTTAGATCTTAACAGGGGAGTACGTTTATTAAAAAGATATCTACATAGTTAATCTAGTATTACTAGTATTTACATATAGTTAATTAACGTTAATTATAAAAGCGAATAATATATTTTTTCTCAAACAAATTAACATAAACATTAATATAATCCAAATTTCAGCGAAACCAACGGGGCTGATATCTCTGTCTCAACTAAACAGCGACATGTTTCGAAGGAAAAGGAAAATGGCTCACAGCAACAATACTATGGACCTGTTTGGCAGGCTCCTCTTCGGCTCCTTCAGAAAAAAGTTCTGCCAAACAATTTTTTAGAAGAGCCGTTTTTTATTAAAAAACAGAGAAGCTACAGCCGTTTTGATCGGAGAAAACACCAAAACGGCTCCGGCTCCTACGGAGGACCTTGCCAAACAGTACCAAACAAAACAACCAGCAAAAACCGCGCTGCCTGTTTCAAAAGAAAAAAACCGCTGCCGATGGGACACCAAACGAGTACGAAAAGGAGATGGAGCACAAGAACACGAACGAGGACGAGAAAGGCAAGATTTTCCTTAAATAGATACTGCAAGTATATATACAACCGGACCCATGATCTCCACTCCCACCTGTTGATTATCCTCACTACTCAATCCCTACCACTACTGCGTTCAATGGTCCATCATGATCCCTACTTGATAACCACTACTGATCTACCATCACCTCCGTCTCCATGTGCGTTCATGGAGATCGCGAGCCGAACAGCAGCGACGCCGGCTCGTTGAGGTCGAACGGGAGGGCCTTGGGCCCCGTCCGGAGCTCCAGCGCCGTGGACGGCAGCGACGAGGCGACGACGTCCCCCGCCACTGCCACGAGGGGCGGCATCGGCGGTGCCACCACGGCTTGGTGGTGCAGCCTGGGCGGGAGGTAGACGACGTGCCAGGGAGAGGAGTGGGTGACGTCGAGCCCACCGAAGTGGCCGGCGGGCGCCGGCAGCGCCGCCGGGTGCGAGAGCGGGAGCGGGCGAGCCTGGACGGGCGTGGGGCCGGCGCGCCCGGGGGTGAAGTTGGTCCTGGCCTTGGTGCCGCGCAGCGCGAGGGCGGCGCGGTCGTAGGCCATGGCGGCCTCGACGGGCGTGTCGTAGGTGCCCAGCCACACGCGCGTCTTCCTCCAGGGGTCGCGGATCTCCGCCGCGTACCGGCCCCACGGCCGCTTCCGCACGCCGCGGTAGTGCGCCGCCTCCACGCGCTGCTGGTGGTGCTGGTCCCCGCCCCCGACAGCAACGCCTCCGACAGTGAGGCCGCGTCCTCCCGGCCTACCACCGTCCCCGACAGCGCCACCGTTCCCTCCTCCTCCTCTCATGTCCCACTCCATCTGCTGCATCCCCACCACCCGCACCGACGCTCACGCTCTCGCCCTCTGAGGTTGGCCGGGCAGGGAGCAGCTGCTTGGTTGGTCTCGGCACCGGCAACGGCAAGGCTCACTCTTCTGTTTATACTGCTGGCCTGGCTGTCTCAGCCTGGGCACCTCCCCTCCGCTCTCTCACACGGTGACTGTGGCCGCACTACTAATGGCCGCGCCTCGTGAAACGGGGAGGTAGGTTTCTGGGCCGAGCGTGGGCGTGGGCGCGAGAGCGAGCGCACGGCGTCATGAATCAGCCGCCGCGCGATTTGACGCCTTGCGGGTCCTCCTCGACAGCGTGCGACTGGTCTCGTCCGGCGCGACGCGCGACTGGCGCCGTGACGCCAGCCCTACCACACTGGGCACTGGCTGGCTGCCACTGCCACAGCCCAGAGCACGGACGCCTCGTCCAGTCGTCCTGTCACCCCACCGCCCTGCCGTACTGTGCCTGCGGCACGCGCGGCCGCACGACTCTTCTCACTCTTCCACCGAGCCCCACGACGAGCCGCACGAACACTGTCCAACGGGACCCACCGATCTGCCGGTTGAGACGTACGAGTACACCTGCTACTATTCATGCGGGGTACGTGAACGGGAGCGTGCGCGCTGCACCGCACGTCCTCTTCGGCGGCTGCTTAGTTGCCAAGGAAACCCAACCCACTCGTGCATGACGGGTGGGGTCTGCTGAGAGCTTTGCTGGTCCCAAGTCAGGGACTGCCAGCGGCGGGTAGGGACGCCGCCGCGCCGCGTTCCCCGGGAGCGGGAGGCGACGTGC